CGCCGTGTGAAGTGGAGAGTGAGATTCGCCGTGTACGTGAGAGTGAGATACCTGTGAGACGCCGAGTACGTGAGATACCTGTGTGGGACACCGTGTAGACGCCGAGTACGTGAGAGTGAGATACCTATGTGAGATACGCCTGTATGAGACGCCGTGTACGTGAGAGTGAGATACCTGTGTGAGACGCCGTGTACGTGAAAGTGAGATACCTGTGTGAGACGCCGTGTACGTGAGATACCTGTGTGAGCACACCGAGTCAGTGTTAGTGAGATATGTGCGAGACTCGAGAAAGTGTGAATGAGATACCTGTGTGAGACGCCGTGTACGTCAGGTTGAGATACCTGCCAGTGTGGGACACCGAGTCAGTGTTAGTGAGACATATGTGTGTGGGGAAGCCAATTACGCTAATGAAATACCTGTGTGAGCTGCTTAGTACGTGTTAGTGAGATACCTTTGTGAGACGCCGTGTATGTGAGGGTGAGCTACCTGTTTGGGACGCCAATTACGCAAATGAAATACCTGTGTGAGCTGCTTAGAGTACGTGTTAGTGAGATACATTTGTGAGAATCCGAGTACTTGTTAGTGAAATACCTGTTTCAGATGCTAAGTACGTGAGGTTGATATAACCTGTGTTGGACGACGAGTACTAGACTAACAACTAGTCTCTGAAATGAACATATTTTACTGAAAAAAGTTCATAGTAAAAAAAATTATATATAATGAAAAGGAGCCCTGAGGAAATCTAGACTTTCTTCATTTTCTGAAGCTGAGGAAATCTAGACTTGCCACATTTTCTAGACTTGTGTGGGCTTTCTTGGATATATTTGCTTCAGGGTCTGTACGAGAGACTAGGCGAGTACGTGAGGGTGAGATACCTCACTCGATTTTATCGAGTAAAATCGGGTGATACTGTAACTGGGAATGTAAAACTTGACGATAACGCACACGCATGCACGCACGCACGCGCACGCTTATATAAAAAGTAACTAAGTTCCTGAAGTAATCTATATATTATACATTAACTTTGTCTTGATGATTTTGAAGAAATCAACTGTAAACTATTGGCTGTATAATGTTCCTTTTTGCCTATATATGTTCAAGAATATTTACTTGTAAATCCGTTCTGCAGAATTCTGTCTAGTTATGAGGTTCATGATTCAGGAGAAGTTTGCAGTTTTAATTGTCAAAACATGCACTACCCACATGTTACGACATTCTAAATGTTTGTTTTTATGGTAGATTAAATTGGTTTCTGAAGTTATGATAGCCACGTGGTGTGCTTATGGTAAAGGGTTAGATCCAACATTGAGTGTGTATTTCACAACATTTAGTTTTAAAACGGTATACTGCGCATGCGTGGACGTAAGTCAGGCGAGTTCACGTGCAGAGGTCCAGGCCGGGTGTATATCTGTTGTATATTAAACGCAGGAAGCTGACATTTCCCGGATAAAAACGTTAGTATGCGTTATCGAAATATTCCACGTCTCTGTAATAAACGACTGGAATATTTCCCCGATAATGCATGCTTACCTTTTTTTATCCCTGAAATGCCAGATTCCTGTGGCGACGCTGGTCAGCGTTTGGCGTCATTCAAGCCTCCCTGACCTAGATCCGCGTCGATCGTAAACACAGAGTTATGCTAATGCCCTTCCCATGACCGGTACAATATGTTATAGTCTGCAGGTGATATGTGTTCACGGAGCGTTAACCCGATGTTGTTACTGGGTGAGTGAATGGTGGTGTACATCGGTCAGAAATAGCCCATCGTTAGTCAGACAAACATGTGAGTGAGTGAGTTTAGTTTCACGCCGCTTTTAGCAATATTCCAGCAATATCACGGCGGAGGACACCAGAAATGGGCTCAACACATTGTACCCGTGTGGGGAATCGAATCCGTATCTTCGGGGTGACAAGCGAACGCTTTAACCACTAGGCTACCCCAGCGGCCCATGACAGACGTAGACCGCCTCCGTGGTGTAGTGGTTAAAGCGTCCGCCCGGAGAGTGGAAGGTCGCGGGTTCGATCCCCGACCGCGTCATACCAAAAGACGTTAAAATATGATACTTGTTGGTCCCTGCCTGGCGCTCGGCATTAATGGGCACAACAAGGACTGGTCGGCTCGGAGTCAGTATAATGTGTCTGAGTGGGATATTCATGCTTCATTGCAGCATGGTATCTCAGTGGGCTAGCACTATAAAACCAGCTTTAGTCTGGGCTAGTACAAACAGCAGCACATACACATACACACACATGCACGTCGTCATATGAGCGAAATATTCTCAAGCACGACGTTAAACCCAATTTCACCTCACCTCACCTCACCATGGCAGACGTGACAAACATGGGGCTGATTGCACGAGCATGAAGTATGTTAAGTGGTACTTCTTACAGAGACCTTCATGCACGTGCACGGATATCATGTTTAATGTACATTGTAAGTTGTCTCCACAGTCGAGATTTTACACATGCAGCATCGGATATAAATATATCACACATTAGCTTTATTGGATGGAGTGTTGCAATCGAAGCGCCCGTATAAGCGGTGCACTGAAAATGATCTATTTCTCATGACGTCATAGGGACGTTGAAGCAATACCGATAATGAAGCATACATGTTCGAGGAGGTCAGAAATCATGTACTTATAAATGAGAGACCTGGAGACAGTATATGAGGTCTTGGCTGTGGTCGACTTACAGCGACGTAATGCCTTGTTGCTCGTGGTATCAACCTCTGGTTTGCCTGTTCAAGGCTTGTAGGTACAGGTTGTCGGGATCTAACCAGGCTGTTGCAGGCTGTGGTATACAACAATATTCACCCACGCACGGATATTGTCATCGCTGGGAATAACCTATTACGAATGCATATGTTATCCAGGCAGTAACATACCAGGGATGCTGGCTGGGCACGTTTCCACGTTTGTGATGTAGATCGGTGACGTAGATACGTAATGTGAACGTTTATCTACGTGTATCACACATGCAGCTGTTACATGAACATGTGATCTCAGGTATGGAGGCTATGCCAGTATGTGCAGCTGCACGTGATCCCAGGTCACATGGTATACGTTGCTGTAGATACGTGTGAGCTACTATAACACACAGCCGTGGGATATGAGACTTGTGTCTATACATGCAGGGCTCAGACAAGGTAACACCCTAACGCTGGGTAATATGACACACATGATCACAATATCATATGCTGCAGTTGCATGCAGGGTTAAAACTTTATGGAACAGTAGACGGAACGACATCTTTTCCGACGTTGTTTTTAAAAGAATTTGACGGGATGCTCGTCACTAAAGAGATTGTACAATCATTGACCTATATTTGTAATCTACAACTCAACTGCCAATATCCAAACGAAATCTCAAGACGGATTCTTCTTGTGGTGTACTTTGATCAAGTGAGAACAAAAATCGAGCCCACTGATGCATTGATGGGGTATAACAATTGATGCGACATCATCATCATCATCATTGTTGTTGTTATTGCCATGTATGCGACCCATAGGGTGTTAAATTATGTGAGGATTATATGAGCGCAACTGTCATATGCAGTTACATGACACACTGTTTGTAAATCAACTGGATTTACTATGAAACCATCTGAGCCTCATTATGATGGAGTGGGTTTGTAGGTAATGTTTGTCAACATAATTCAAGCAGCAATCATGCTGAAACGGGAGTGATGTCATCTTCATTTGCGTGAGGCTTGCCAGATAGTTCTGCTTTCCAGAGGGATGGCAATGTAACAATGACAAATGGCATGAGTGAATGAGTGAGTATGGCTTAACGCCGCTTTTAGCAATATTCCAGCAATATCACGGCGGGGGACACCAGAAATGGGCTTCACACATGGTTCCCATGTGGGGAACACAAATGTCATGATGACGGAGGATATGCAATGCCACACATGGAAGCGATATCTGAAAGATTTGTTCACAGGTCCATTCTTCTGGTGGCACAACTCAACTGAAGTGATTAGATTAGCATATTATTAGCAATTAATGGTCGGAGCTAAAATTCCTTGAAATCCAAGAAAACTTAACCCATTAAATTGCCAGGTGATAGAAGAGACTTTCGGAGAAGGAGATGTTTCGACTGTACCGCAATTGTTTAGTCTCTAGTTGACAGCTTTGAACCCTAAACTCGTCCGTGTTTACATAGGATTCAGCCACAAAGTCAGCCGGGTCTGCTTCAAAACGACGTAAATTCTATACAGTTTCTGATCAGAAGTCCAAAGCCTTCGAAACTTAAGTTCTCAAGATATAGGAGAGTCTGTTGTACCGGCTATGGGACGTGTGGTGAGACGTCGACCATCCTTAGTCATACCATGTATTGCATCAACAGTTTCCTCTGTGGTTGCAGTTGAATGTCATTCTGATCTTCGGTCATCTTAGAGGTTCTTCTTCCACGATTGAACTCCACTGGCCAATACTTATCTGTGATGTGTCTTCCCTTGCTGTTGATAACTTGTCCATATTGATGGCTGATGGAGTTCACCCAATCATTTGGCGATCCTGGATGACAGTGCGGTGGTCATTTGACACCAAGAGAAAATACTTGTTCACTACAGAATAATGCTGTTTGGTTGTACAACTGGTTCAATTACAGCTTGTTCAAGGAGAGAAGGTAGAGTGCTTAATACAGGCAGGCTGTTAAAGGGAAAGTTGACACGAAAATAAACCTCTTTGTCGGGCACTTTTTCAACGTAAAACGTTTTTATTGGGTAAGTTAATAGTCAAAACAGTACAGATGTCACACGTAACTAGTTTATTTTATCGATTTATCTCCGAGTTCTATTTCCATAATAAACACTCCACGACTTAGGCATCTAGCAACATGACGTCGCTGGTGCCAATTGATAAACAAATGACGTCTTTAGACATTATTAGCCTATTTTTGATAGGAAAAAAGAGCGTCTATTTTCAAACATTCATATCATTTAAATTTAAAATTCCGTTTTGCTTCACATACAAAAACGTGATTATATTTTTCTTCTTGTGCACTTCCCCTTTAAGGGTGTAAAATGTCTCCTTCGTAGCCAGGCTGCAAATGCTGAAAGGTGAACGAGGCTGCTCGAGCTGAAAAGGAGATAAGTAAAGGGTGTCAGAGCTGAAAAGAGGAACGAATATAAGCTGCTAGAGCTGAAAAGGAGATAAGGAAAGGCTGTTGGAGCTGAAAAGGGGAACGAGGCTGCTAGAAGTGAAAAGGAGATAAGTAAAGGGAGCTGAGAAGGGGAACGAATATATGCTGCTCGAGCTGAAAGTGGGCGATTATTGACAGAGCTGAAGAGGGGATGATAATTATTGAGTTTCTTAAAACAGACAACAAAATTAGCTGTTCCTGAGGAGGCTGTGGGATCAGGAATAGGTCTTATATAATCACGTTCGCGTTATGGGAACTTAGCCCACACAGTTTCAGGGGCACAGAGCTTTCACGTGCCGAATGATGCAGCAGAATCCAGATTACTCAGCACACATGCCGTTCATGCCATCGCCCTGTTTCTGAAGTGTGCACTTAATCACTGACTGATTAAATAATTTACGATAATATTCAAAAGACCCACGTTGGTCTGTTGGTATCTGTGGACGTTAAGAAGATTTAAGGGAATTTGAATGTCGTGTGAGATCGACTGGACGGTGCAAGTTACCCCATGGGCCGGGCGATGAAAATCGTCTACAGCGACAATCAGTACACAACAAACACAGCACCCCCTATAGAGCGGCATTCCAGTACTAAGTGGCCCTCATATCGAGACCCAAGTATTTAGACATAATTTGCCTATTCTGTTTATTGTTCGGTAATCTACGACGTCTGTGTCAAGAAAACGTCCTCTACAGCCACGCAGGTGACGCGAGGTTGATAAGGACTGAATGGTAGGGAAGTGACCCGAAGTCTGTCATGATCAGTACAGGAGTAGATACCCACGTCAGACAAACTTCTAGACTGAGGTCTATACTTAATGAGGGATGTTTTACCTGTTAAACTGAGGTCGTGAGCACTGAGTGGGTCAGCGGTACCCTTGACTGTCATACTGAGGTCTGTGAGCATTCAGTGGGTCAGAGGTACCCTTGACTGTCATACTGAGGTCTGTGGGCATTCAGTGGGTCAGAGGTACCCTTGACTGTCATACTGAGGTCTGTGGGCATTGAGTGGGTCAGAGGTACCCTTGACTGTCATACTGAGGTCTGTGAGCATCTAGTGGGTCAGAGGTACATTCAGTGGGTCAGAGGTACAGAGGTACCCTTGACTGTCATACTGAGGTCTGTGGGCATTGAGTGGGTTAGCGGTACCCTTGACTGTCATACTGAGGTCTGTGGGCATTGAGTGGGTCAGAGGTACCCTTGACTGTCATACTGAGGTCTGTGGGCATTGAGTGGGTTAGCGGTACCCTTGACTGTCATACTGAGGTCTGTGAGCATTAAGTGGGTCAGAGGTACCATTAACTGTCATACTGGGGTCTGTCATATTGAGTGGGTCAGCGGTACCATTGACTGTCATTCTGAGGTCTGTGAGCATTAAGTGGGTCAGCGGTACCCTTGACTGTCATACTGAGGTCTGTGGGCACTGAGTGGGTCAGCGGTACCATTGACTGTCATACTGTGGTCTGTGAGCATTGAGTGGGTCAGCGGTACCCTTGACTGTCATACTGAGGTCTGTGGGCACTGAGTGGGTCAGCGGTACACTTGACTGTCATCCTGTGGTCTGTAAGCATTGAGTGGGTCAGAGGTACCATTGACTGTCATATTGAGGTCTGTGAGCATTCAGTGGGTCAGCGGAACCCTTGACTGTCATACTGAGGTCTGTGAGCATTCAGCGGGTCAGCGGTACCATTGACTTTCATACTGAGGTCTATGAGCATTCAGTGGGTCAGCGGTACCCTTGACAATGTTACACTGGGTCAGCAGAACCCTTGACTGTCATACTGGGGTCTGTCAGTATTGAGTGGGTCAGAGGTACCTTTGACTGTCATACTGAGGTCTGTGAGCATTGAGTGGGTCAGCGGTACCCTTGACTGTCATACTGAGGTCTGTGAGCATTGAGTGGGTCAGCGGTACCTTTGACTGTCATACTGAGGTCTGTGAGCATTGAGTGGGTTAGCGGTACCCTTGACTGTCATACTGGGGTCTGTCAGCACTGAGTGGGTCAGCGGTACCACTGACTGTCATACTGAGGTCTGTGAGCATTGAGTGGGTCAGCGGTACCCTTGACTGTCATACTGGGGTCTATGAGCACTGAGTGGGTCAGCGGTACCACTGACTGTCATACTGAGGTATTTGAGCACTGAGTGGGTCAGCGGTACCATTGACTGTCATACTGAGGTATTTGAGCGCCGAGTGGGTCAGCGGTACCATTGACTGTCATACTGGGGGCTATCAGCACTGAGTGGGCCAGCGATGGGATATGAGGGATACCAACACCTAGGACTACGAGAGAAATATAGGATTTTCATGGATAGCCCGACTACGTCCATCAGAAACATGGGAGAGTGTCATGGGCAACGACGAGTCCCCGGATGTACATGCAGAAGTTCCTACTGTAAATGGATGAGGTCGTCTTGTACTCGTATGGAGCAATCCGCATGTTAGACACGGGCAACAGAAGGATTGCATTACAATCTGGCACTCATCCAGGTGCAAATTGTTTTATTTTGGCCCGTTATTGATTTTAATCGACCAATTATCTATAGTCTTGAGACACCCCATTCACTGAGTGCTAATTCCCCAGGACATTGTACGCCGGGAGCTGTGTGTGGAAGTGGAGAGGCCCTACACGCACCTGCATTCCGGGCATTCCTACCTAGCTGCTCACTGGGGCGTCCCTTGCTCTAAGACACTGTCACGATTCACTTATGTTTACACTTATAAGACCATCGGATCAGACACTGGAATATTTATGATAACGTCAGATTCATTCGTTTCCTCTGTTATCCATTTTCATCCTCCGCGCTTCTTTGTTAGCGAAGGTCATTTTGCTAGCACATCGCATCAAATCGTAGACCCAAGTATTAAACATAATTTGCCTATTCTGTTCATTGTCTTCGTCAAGAAAACGTGAAATCGTAAATAATTCACCAGAGATTGAGTGAACATTGTTTTGCGTTCAAAAGCTTCTTTTTTGTTTTGTTTGTTTTTGTTTCCATTGCTACACTAAGTAAAACAATCTACTGGGGCACAGGCAAACCGATGGTTGAGAACATGAACACTGACCCATGCTCTCGGCCGCCATGATCACAGTGAGTAAGGTCAGAATAGTGACCTCCCGATGGGGTGATGATGATGATGATGATGATGATGATGATGATGATGATTTTTATGGAGAAGCATGTACCATGTGAATGACCCCTCCCCCTAAAATTTATGTACAAAGTAAGTGACCCCTCTGCATGTCATGTACAAAATCAATGATCCCCCCCATAATTTTTAAGCATACTTGTAAAATATTTATACGTACAAAATTGATGCCCCCTATTACATGTACAAAATGTACAAAAATTGATGACCCCCATCTCCCCAGAACAAAATGGGTGCCCCCCAGTACATGTCAAAATCATCATTATCTCACTCACTCTCCCCCTCAAAATCATCACACACACACACACACACACACACACGCACACACACACACACACACGCACGCACACACACACACACACCATAAATTATGAACGGTCCCTAAGTGTGTCTTGATCCTCGTCACGAGTTCGAATCCCAGATCCAGTCGATTATGACCCCCGGTGTCAGTTTCACCAAAGTGGAGCGTCATATGTTGTGACGTTGACTGAAAACAGCAACCAAGGATGATTTTCAGTGCGAATATTGGATTCTAATACACAGGAATCGAATGTATGAGTTATTACCTCAAATTATAAATATAGGATCTGTAGCTCCTCATTCATACTCATTGGCACATCTTGCAGTACATCCCTATACAGATGGGTAAGCAGGGTGATGTGACGGTGGGCATGCAAGGTGGTGTGAAAGGCTCACACAGGCGCCGGGGTAGAGATGCACTGTACCAGGGTACTGTAACAAGTATTTAGGGAAGGGGATGCAGTGTTGTCCCAACTATAGGCGACATGTGTCAATGTGATACGGCGATGATTAACTCTATAAAGACATTTTCCATTCAATAGAGCCCCATTAAAATATTTTCTTCTCTCAGGTGAGTTATTTGATACTGACAGTACAAGCAGAGCCGCGCTGTATAGAATGTATTCAATCGACTTTGTGAGGGACTATTTACCTGTACCGTGCACCTGGCGAGCTCGTGCAGGTCGCGTGAGGGGACGCGCATGACGCATAGCACGCGACAAACTATCTGGGGTTTTTTTTATATTACAGAGCATACTTGTACATCGGTAAAGAGTTGTACACAAAGACTGGTGGAGCTTCGTTTTGAGGCTTGATTCATTTCTAACATTCGCAGGAGACTTGTGCCAAAGGTTGTTGTCTTTTTTGTTTTGTAATATGTACTTTGCTATGAGTATGACACATTTGTTCTGAGTACTGATGATGGTTGTCGTTGTTCCACTACATATGTGTCAAAGGTTCGTCACGTCGGGGTTCCGGGTTCGATACTACACTGATAAAACTACAATCATGCAAGGAAACAACCTCATTTTCGACTGACAGCAGTTTGGTGATACAGTCACTAATGTTGTGTCGAGTTTAAATGTACCTACGCATTACTTCGAGTAATCCGAGCTTCGACACAACCACAAAATGAAGGCTAAATAATACTTAGGGACCAAACTTTTAATTCGACACTACAGTGTACAACTGAACAGGATGTGCGAGTGTGTGGAAGAGCATCCATTGGATCGTCGTTTGCCCTAAATAGCTAGCTTTCTCTATTACGTAATGTTTATCACATTCTATGCTTGTTTTTCAGACGGTCACAGTGACGGGTTGGTGGATTTTACGAGGGCTTCACCCTCTTAGAGTAAACTTTTTTAAAGCGCTTTGCTGTTGTGTACCGGATGCTGTCTGCACTAATATGAATTGAAACTGAAAAGTAATGTGCCAAATATGCACTATATTGTATTTTGAAATTTAAATGTTAATCAACGCTCTGCTTCGCGTCTATTTTCCTTTCATTAAAAATGCCATACCTCATCGCTCATGTGCATGACAATCACGCGTGATGTTATTTATGAATATGAATTTGAAAATATGTCCTTACGTTATCATGTGACAAGCAAATAAAAACTCTGGTCACAGAAATAGAAAACAATATAATTACATTTATTGTTTTCACAGCCCTAAACAAAACATTAGACTGCACTCACTACTTTCCAGGCTGTCTGATGATAGGGTGGTCGGGGTGGGCTGCATGTTTGGGTCGGCCGATGTCACTCATTTCATACAGGTGGAGGGCCCCGGTGGGCCACTCGTCAAACGGAACACGTTGTTCAGAGTTACATCCCTTGAGCGCACCAGAATCCTATGGTTGTGGGTTCGAATCCTGTTTCTCTCCGGGTTTGTTTCGGGTTTCTCAGCTCAATACCCTACATGTTGTTAACACCAAAGTGGTTAACCTCCGAGAGCTGCTTGATTTCGGACATTCCTCCCACACGAAGCTCACAGGCTGTAATGTAACTGGGTCAAAGTTAAAAGAGACTCACTCGCATTCTTGTATACTATATATCACTGCACGTCGGTTTTTACTTGTATGTCTCCATAAAAGTAATTCTTTATTAACAGCACCATTGTACATGTTGACACATATTCACAATTTGGCCCCGTGTATACATCATGGATAAGCTGAAGAAAATATGTGTCACAGTCTACACTGTTAGTCAGTATTAGTAATCTCAGATATTTGTCAGAGTTATTCAATATTCATTCAAGTAACTAAAATCGAAGTCCTACAGTTGGATTATTCAATATCATTAGATGGATGAGATACTCAAGAAATACCCAGCATACATCAACTCCCCCTGACCAAACTACATGAGTTTTGTGAGCATTAAGCTAGACAGAGTAATCTCCCCTAGATGAACAGTTCCATCTGCGAGTATTTCGTATATTGTTTATAGTTTCAGTGTGAACTGGGTGATTTGCAGATAAATGTGTTTTACTATGTTTGTATTTGATTTGAAGAACTACATAGATTTATCTGGATGTCAAGTGATTAGTTGCGACCTACGTTGAGGTAAAGGAGCACTTGAAATCATAGCAATCTATTGACTATTGTATGTCATTTTAACATTCGAGCTTATCGGAATTGATATCTGATTAATCTAATAACTAGCGCAATGTTGCAGCTGATGTCAGTTTGAATGGAATATTTCACACAATGTCACAACAGACACAGTAAACAATATGAGCGTAAAGTTCCAGAAACGAAGCTTTCAGCGTGTCCACCCGATTTAGTGAAGAAATCATGTGAGCGGCATGTGTCCATATAACACGAGCGAAGCTAGAAAATTATTCCGACCTTACCGGTATGTTACTCGGTACTAATATTTCATTTGATGATGTGGAATTAACTATTGCCTTATTAGGTAATGACAAAGCAGAATGCCATCCCACGAGTACCCGGTCTGTATTAAAGGTGTATTTAACTTTCTTCCATTTACACATAGCCCTACCCTCGTGTCGTAGTACTTAGCTGTCCAACATGGGGCACCTGATATGTCCAACATGGGGCAGCTACTATGTCCAACATGGGGCACCTGATATGTCCAACATGGGGCACCTGATGTGTCCAACATGGGGCAACTACTATGTCCAACATGGGGCACCTGATATGTCCAACATGGGGCACCTGATGTGTCCAACATGGGGCAACTACTATGTCCATAATGGGGCACCTGATGTGTCCAACATGGGGCACCTGATATGTCCAACATGGGGCACCTGTTGTGTCCAACATTGGGCAACTACTATGTCCATAATTGAGCACCTGATGTGTCCAACATGGGGCAACTACTATGTCCAACATGGGGAACCTGGTGTGTCCAACATGGGGCAACTTCTATGTCCAACATTGGGCACCTGATATGTCCAACATGGGGCAACTACTATGTCCAACATGGAGCACCTGATGTGTCCAACACAGGGCAACTACTATGTCCAACATGGGGCACATGATGTGTCCAACACGGGGCAACTACTCTGTCCAACATGGGGCACCTGATGTGCCCAACATGGGGCACCTGATGTGTCTCCAGGCGATCATACCTTGTTACATTTCCTATTATTATTAATGACTATTGTCTCCAATATTTCACCACCCTTATACAACATGGGTATCCTCCGCATAGCACAGACGATAACAATATGTATGCTACATTTAAGACCAAGGAATATTATAGCATTAAACATGCACTTTTTCACCAGTACCATGTCACTTTATGGAAGACCACATTAACTCAACAATAACGTTTTCTCTGTGACCTTAATGCACTCAACTGGCAATGTTCTCTATTTGGGCGGTGATATGATTTTCAAAATCTTAAACATGTTTATCAACGATAAATAAAAACAACAATGGACATGTTGTGTTCCAAATGAATATGATTTGCTAAGCCCAACCAAACAACACTATTGAATGAAGCAAAGAGTAACAAGAGTTGTTTCCCTTAGTCTACGATTTTAGCTAAAACATTCACAGGCAAAAAGGGATTATTGCTAGAGTATTCCCAGAACTTATTGAGAAAGTTGTTTCGACAAATATCTAATACATGTATATATACTATAGAAGTTTTACTTAAATGAACATATTGAGATATGATTCTCTTACAGTCTAAATGTCTTTTCAGTACGTTGTGAGACCTCCTCCTTGCCCTGCAATACACGACTGAATGCGCCGAGGTACACTACCGATCAAAGTTTGTGAGAAATCGTGTGACAGCGTATCCCAATATTCGACCACTTCTTTCTTTTATATACTCTTTTATATACTCAAGTCCTTTTTGATTTATTCTGTATTTCATTAGTCCCCACACATTCTTATGTGGGCTAAGATCTGGGCAATAGCTGGGCCAGTCTAGAACTTGAACATTTTCGTCTGACAACCAATGTTTTGTGAAGACCGCAGTGTGTTCTGGGTCGTTATCATGCTGGAAAATCCAATAATTGTTATCTTAATACAGCCGTTGGAAGGAGGTGACCATTTAAGGTGTCAACATAACGTCCCTTCGTCAAATTTTCACCCAGTTTAGTCTTTGTAATCCTTGTCTAAGGGTTTCATTACATATCTGATGACTTTCTCTTTTAATCATCTCATTTCTGATATTCGCAACGCTTTTCAATTTTCCCCTACTCACAATCTGACCAAGTGGCCGTCGATCCGTAGTACTGAACGTCCTTGGCCTCCCTGCCCCTGTCTTGTGTTCAATTCCAACCCCTGACTGAATATTCTTCAAAGTTCTGTATACTGTAGACGGAGGAATGTCATGTCTACCAGCTACTATTTTGCATCAGTCACACCCCTTTCAAAATCATCAAGATCCAGCTTTCTTTTTCTCTTCTGCTGTCAAATCTGCCTTGTCAACAAAGGAAGCCGTCTGCTACACCAAGGGAGATAACTCTTGATGTGGAAAGGTTCATTATTAAACATACAAGAGTTGCCTCCCATATTGGTTACCTTACTGCATAATGTAACACCTATTTTAAAATTCTGTTATCAGTATTAGGAAACCAAGATTTTCTCAATAATTTCTGGGAAAACTATTTATCGCCCGAACCAAGTAACTCATTTTCAAGCAGTACTGAAGTCTATACAAACAATGACGAAACAATGCAACATTGTTTCAGTTACAAATCCAGGTGTAATCTCTACCATGTTGTATCATCATGCGGTTCCGCCCGAAGTGTGAGTGAATGATTATGGTTTTACGCAGTTTAGCAATTTCAAGCAATATCACGGCGGGGGACACCAGAAATGGGCTTCGCACATTACATCCATAGGGGGAATCAAACCTGGGTCTTCGGCGTGACGAGCAAACGTTTAATCCATTAGACCACCCCACCGCCCGGAGCACAGGGTAAACGGAAATTGAATAGAGTGACGGTATATATATTTTATGCCTGGTCGAAGTTTCTTTTCGTTTAATATATACTATCCAAAAAAAGAAACGCATAGGCGTTTCGTATTTTAAAAAATCTATCAATGACCTATTGTAACAAAAGTGTTGATAACATGATTTTACACAATTGCACAAGTAAAAAGTCGACTTTACCATAAAATGTTGATTTTTATGAGATTTCTTACAAGGATTAAAAAGGCATCACCACAACGCAACAGAAATCACCTTCCAGTTGAAATTGTGCAGCAAAGAGCATGCACTGTCTGGCTATAAAAATCCAGATTACTTTCGGAAATCGGCATTCGTTTTGAAGGAGTTTCAAGGTCAAATCACTACGCCACGTCTTGACGCTGCGACACGGAACATCGCCCTTTGAAAGAATTCACGCTGGAGATTACCAATCTTCTGTTGCCAGGCGTCTGAATGTTAGTCTGAGCACGATATCACGGCTTACAGCTCGTTACAACCATACATGTATTTAACAAATGACCCTACCCGTACAGGCAGACCTCGAGTCACCACTGCAGCCCAAGATCGGTACATCCGGGTACTACATTTGCGTGATCGTACTGCCAGTGCCCACGGGTGCGAGCACAGCAGCCAGGGTGCCTGGACGGAGGATATCCGGTCAAACTGTACGGAACGGTTTGAGAGAGATTGGATTGAGAGCCAGGAGATCCGACGTCGGGCCCGTGCTACGTCGTCACCATGGCGCTCAACGTTTCCGCTATCTAAAATTATCCACTTTGTTGTATAGACATTTTCTTCTTCTAAACTGATGCAAAAATCCATTTCCTAAAGTTTGGTGGCCGAGTTATACATGTTTGAAAATACAATATTTTCGCAACGGATTTTTAGGTTATGCGTTTCATTATTTAATAGCATATTTAATTTCGAAGATTGTTTTCTCTTTTGGCAGATTAAAACTTATCAACGTATGATACTTAACACTGATTTTCCTGCTGTTCATTCTCATGAACCTCTACTGTTACCAAATTCTAACAGTACTTGCGGATAAACGACGTGTGAGTGCCTGTGTACATCACAACGGAAGTATCATTACTTCACAAGAAAAACACTATGTATCTCTCCAGTATATTTTGACTGATGTCTACCTTAATAGTGAGGTCTTCCTTTGACAGTATGGCTAGTTGACTGAGGTCTACCTTAATAGTGAAGACTTCCTTTGACAGTAGGGCTAGTTGATTGAGTGTCTACCTTAATAGTGAATACTTCCTTTGACAGAAGGGCTAGTTGACCGATGTCTACCTTAATAGTGAGGTCTTCCTTTGACAGTGGGGCTAGTTGACCGATGTCTACCTTAATAGTGAATACTTCCTTTGACAGAAGGGCTAGTTGACCGATGTCTACCTTAATAGTGAGGTCTTCCTTTGTCAGTGGGGCTAGTTGACTGATGTCTACCTTAATAGTGAGGTCTTCCTTTGACAGTAGGGTTAGTTGACCGATGTCTACCTTAATAGTGAGGTCTTCCTTTGTCAGTAAGGCTAGTTGACTGATGTCTATCAGAAGTCTTCCTTGGGCATGTCTTAATAGGAGGTCTTCCTTTGACTGATGTCTACCTTCCTTTGGCAGTAGGGCTAGTTGACTGATGTCTACCTTATTAATTAAGGCTTCCTTTGATAACAAAATGAGCATTTTTAATCTGTCCACAGCATATCTACTTAGACCTACTTGGTTGAGCTTCGACAAGACTTCCACAAGGCCTGCATCCGTGACAACCACATATATATAAAGTATAATATCTGCAGGATTCGAATACACACACAAATGAAAACAAAAATAGACTTCTTTACAAAAGCATTTATTCAAACATATTGTACAAATTTGTATATTATAAAAAACAATGCATGATCGAAACTGCTTATTCGGGGTGGTGGTTGGGTACACATCAGTGAGGCTCGGGTTAGAACTCACTTTGATTTAGTCCAGCTAAGATTCGAAACAAAATATTCAGAAGTATTTGTGTTTTTCTTTGAACATGGAATATTCAACATATCCTCGCATCAATTATTGCAAAATATGCCATTGCTAATAACATAATTTTTCACTTAACACTAATATATAGTTGTGTTCAAATGATTGATTAATGGTGATCAGTTGCTTGCACATGCTTAGGGACCATCCAGAAGTTCTTCAGGAGGGGCTCAGATTTTGTATTGTTACTTGAATTTTCTAGCTACAGCTTCAAAAGCAGATTTTTTTAAATTAAAAAAGTAATAAACCACAATAACCTTCCTAAAAGCACTTTCAACAATTCAGTTTTTGTGGCATTACTAATTTATCATAAGAAACCGAATCCCTTGACACAAATTTTTCCAGGACATTTTTGTTCCTGTTCAGTAAAATCTCAGACCACACCATCCTCCCAGAACATCACATGGTCTGTCCCTCACTAACATGGAAAACACTCCTCAATATCATACTTAAAATCAAACAGTTAAAAGTAACTTTAAAATTAGTTTGTGTTAGGCATACAGATTACTCATACCCTGGACACACGATGTATACTGTAGGTGACTAGACTCACAACTATCATCAGTTGTAAGGTAAAGCTTGTGATAAATTGTCTGGTGGGCTAGGGTGGGGTTGGGATGGGGGCGAGCAGTGAGGGCAGGGGAGGGGATTATTGGTGTAGAACAAGGGCTTTATGTCACATGCATTAATACCTTATCTCCTGAGCTTGTAGCTTTGGAGACAAAGAAATATCACTGCAAAAACACAAAATTAATCATTCATTACATGTGATAAGATTTTATTTCTTATGTTACAAAAATGTTTGAGGCGATCATATGTTGGGGACCATCTATAACTAAAATTGCATGATCAGCATAACATACAGATATCTGTACAATTGTTAAGAACACTTGAAGTAAAACAACTGAAGAACTTGAGTCGCTGATTTCAGGTCTTAAAATACACATAAAATATGATCCCTTCAATAAACAGAAGTCATTTTCATTTTCTGAAATCAAAACTAGACAAGGTAATACAATATACCTTTCAGTTTGAAAATAAAACCAAATTTTCTTTAAAGTAGAAATTAAAGCTTGAAGGCAGATTTTGAATTATTCAAAAAGTAAATCTATGACTGAATGTTCCTTCAGTTGGTACGAGCAAGGCCTGTCAGCCCCCGACGCAGATAAATGGTAATGTCCTACAGGTGCCCCTTGACAGATGGACATGTCACCTTCATATGCCACTCATGTCCACAGCATGACAGGACATGACAAATTACCACAGTTTTAATTCCTCTCAAGAAAGACATATATACTGAGTGCTATATTTGAAGAATATCTGATATTAATGTAATCAGTTTGAAGACAACATAACCTTATCTTCTAAGAGTGAAATGTTTACTTGTTTAAACACAGAAGATAAGATGCAATGGCTATTGACACTGTTCACAAGGGTGTCAACGCACAGAACACGAAACTGTGAATTGGTTAAGCCAAAAATTATTCCATTTTAAAAACAATTTAGATCAATATACTGGTCAAAATTAGTTTGGGATCAATGACATTCATAAAAAGAAGTCAAAATGTATTCATGATCTTAACTGTTTGGGTTAAAATCAATAAGATTTCAGGATAACTTAGTTTAACAATAACTCACTACCATCCACTGACATGGCCTAGATCTATAAAATTACACATAGTTGTGTATAATTTTAAAAAGTCTTAACTAACAAATCTGGTTTACACTTAAGAACTTACAAACAAGAAAAGACAGGCTTAAGTAGACCATACATGTGGGTCTTCCTGACAAAACCAATTTTACTAAAAGAGGCAACTTGCCCTGGGGGACTGACCCTGACCTTCTCTGACACTGTGACCTTGACATGATGATGACCGATGAAGGATGAGTAATAATTGAATGACAATGCATTATTTACAATCAGGTTCAGCAAATATCAATGACAAATAAGATCTTTATTCTTCAATTAACAACTGTGTTCAAGATTGGTGTTTTGTCAAAAGACAAGTGTAACAAGACTTGTGTATGACGCATGACCGTATGACAGCAAAAGCCGTATCTCTTTATTGCCCAACATTAATCACAACGAATTTGTCAACAAAATTGATTAGGCACTCTTGTCTCAGTGAGGTCTTCATACGAAACAAAACATTCTTCACATATCAATATTTGATGGTTTTTGTGTGCTGCTAAAATAACAATGAAATATTTCCAAGCATAAAAATATATTACTATTTTTTTTGGATAATTTTATGTTCAACTGTCACATATTTCAAGACAGTACAAAAAGAGTGAGAAAGGTCACCAAGAGTTCACATTTTAGGTGACTATATATTACAAGGTTCAAACTTCCCAATTATAAAATTTAATAAATGTATTCAAACATTTCCAAGTAGCAAATGTTCAAAATATATTTCATCTTCATATCATCATATAACAAGTTTCAAAATCTTAAATCTAAAATACAATAATTGTATGCGAATACTGCATGAAGTTAAAGTTTAAAAATATTTAGTTCAATATCATTATATCATGCTAGGGTGCTATTATGTATGTATATTATAAAAGAATAATTTATTGCTTGACATATCAAGTTGCCATGATGGTCTAAATAATCCAAATACGTTTTAACCTTTTGTTATAAATTACAAACATTATATTTAACACTGTTACCATGGAGGGAATATCCTGGACATCTAAGGACAGTAGAAAGGCACAAAAGAGAATTACATGAGATGGCAGGCAAACATTATTGAGGGCAGTAGAATGCCGTTTTATCAAATTGCATAAAAATTGAAATATTTAATAGGTTTTGCTCGAACAGGAAACCACGTTCACGACAACATGTATATAAAAGAACTATTTAACAAAGCCTGTTTGGATGATCAGTACCTGACCCTAAGTAGACGCTGTCTTGAGACGTACAATATGTTTAAGGCACATGCGACCACCGAGCGGTCGGATCTTTAGTGGACGTTCAGAGATATATATGGCTATGAATAAATAGTTATCTTGTAATTTGACATGAAACATATGTATACACACAGACAGTAAGAAAATATAAGTTTCAGTTGAAGGAGATGTGAGGCAATGGGCAATATACAGTGAAAAACTTATGCCGTAACAATGAGTTGTCTACCCTTATGGCAGTTCTTTAAGTGATCTGCCCATTGGACAGAGCTCTGAAAGAGTTGTCTGCCCACTGGACAGTACTCCCAAAGAGTTGTCTGCCTTTGTATAAGCAGCACTAGATTGTGACTACTGCAGCAGTTTATCTTAATGCCAATTTAGCATTCAACAAATCAACCAAATGTCATTCTTCAAAGTTTGCGTAATACTGTTTGGACGTTTTTTTCTTAAAGCAGTAAATAATGCTCAGAAACAATTTGGATGCCTTGATGATGAATCAACAATGGAGATATACTAAACAAATAAATTTGAACATAATCTGAAACTGTATCCAGTTGTGTCCTAAAAAACATGTTTACAGTACACTATTCATGAAATCCAAACAAACAGTTTCATTGTAATCTGATGTGATCACCAAGGCATGCTAACAAAAGACACGGGTAACTACAGCAGCGAAGTGGAACGGTCCGGACACAGGTTCTGCAGCGTAGCATGAATAGTTTACTGCTCAACCTTGAACACTGACGGAGAATGGTCTCACATATCCATCAGTCCGTCCGATGAAAGTAGCACTTGGTCGTTCCACTTCACGATGCGGCATCAGCAACTACACACTCACAACTATCAGCAACGGAAAAAAACAAAAAACAAATCACAAGAAACAGGTTCCAATTTCCTCCTACAAGAAAGAATCTACCACAAAAGTGTTTCGCAACTACTGCAGTCTGTACTAATCATTTGGCAACCATAAGCACTATTGCGTCTAAGAAGACTCTCTAGACGAGATCGACCAATCACGGACAAGCTGGGGCATAAGCTCTGTCCTGACTGGTACATGTTCTTGCTCATTGAATATAATCCCGTATCACACAGCCAGACGAATCCAGCAGATCTATGCACCAAGAGGATAAGGTCTTGCATGATAAAGGCACATAATGTGTTCTGAGTTTCACCAGAGTGTTTCATGCGTTGTGTCTGATGACCAGGTCTTCACAAACACAGCTCTTATTGCTTCAATGGTGAATGAGCGGACAATATATAATGTTTGTATAGTCTGTTTCCCCACGAATGCTGGTTAGTCTTTGACAAGCTTGTAGATGTGATGCTGGGCTCCATGTTCACTTGTTGACACCTCGAACACATTGGCAATACACAGAAGACACTCCTGTGTGTCACGATTGGTTACCACCTGAAAACATAAACAGCAAATCAGTTTTCACATCTTGTCTAATAAAGGGAGTATATGCCAACAATATCAAGGATTAAAGTGAAGTAAGTATGATTTTACACTGCTTTAAGCAATATCACAATTGGGGACACCAGAAATGGGCTTCACACACTGTATCCATGTGGGAATCAAACCCGGGTCTTCGGCGTGACAAGTGGACGCTTTAACCACTAGGCCACCGCCCAAAAGGGAAGAGAAAATAAGAGAGTGTTCGATATTATTTACTGCTGAAACAATACTTCTAACATATGTTACAAGATCAAGGCAAACCAGCAACTAATGAGCTAAGTGACCTCTGAAGTCAAGAGCAGGTTACAAGTCTACTGACAGTTACAAAACCAAGAACAAGTAGTTTTCCACCTGTAAACCTAACATGGACTTGAACACAGACTAGATTGACAACTGCACTATCAACTGGTCTACCTACTCCACAGTACATGTATACTAACCTGGAGAATAGTGAAGTTTTCAAGCACGCTGTTCATCATGTATTTCTCCGGCAGGTGCTTCAGTTTGTGAATAAAGTTGATCATGTATTCGCACATCGGGGAACGATGGATTCTATACACAAATCGCCCGTTCTCAAACCGAGGGTACTCCGTCTGAAAATTACAGCACACGACAATGTTTTTGACATTCATACTACAGAGCAGCATTATACTGTCAGTACAATGATTCGGTAATAAATAGAATTAGTGTTAAAGTTGCTGGACGGTCCTGTGATAATCAGTATTGGCATTGGGGTAAAATACTGGGCACCATTTGTATTAAGCGAGTTGACTGACTGACTGAGTTTGGTTTTACGCCGCTTTTTAGCAATATTCCAGCAACATCACGGCAGGGGACACCAGAAATGGGCTTCACACATTGTACCCATGTGGGGATTCGAACCCGGGTCTTTGGCGTGACGAGCCAACGATTAAGTGAGTTGAGGGAGTGAGAGGCTTTATATTGAGGAATATATACAAGACCTTCAGCATAAGTATAAAACACACAACCCACACTAATCCACAGAATTTATCTCAAACTATGGATAGTTCAAATAGTTGTGTTCTGTGACCCCATAGCATGTAATTTTATGGTAACTTAATTGAACAGTAAGAATAAGACATAAATATAACAAAGAAAGAAACAAATTTCTTAAGCAAAACAGTATTGCTCTAGTATTACCTATTTTGAGAAACAAACACACAAAGGAATCATTTCGTTAAACTTCTGACTACTTGAATCTTCAAGACGAACAGCAGATATGACACTCACCTCAACTTTTTCTACGACCTGCTTCCTGAATGAACACACCTTAGTGGATACTTGTATCGTCATGTTCTCTGTGCTCTCGTACCTGTAACAGCATTGTTCACTGTACACACACAACCAGCAACAGTACAACATTTCACAAGCCAACACACTGATACAAAATTCATCTTTGTGCATCTTAAAACATGTTTTGGGAAAAACTAGAGAAAAGTGATCGTCTTAACACTAACAGCTGAAGCAAAGGCAACCATCAGGTTGAGTCCAAGTGAGTGACAGAGTGAATGAATATTGCCTCAGCTAATCACATCAAGAAATAATCCAAACAGGCACATGTTTTAAACTCTTTACTTAGTGAACATTACAGGAATCTAGGTCACTGAGGATCATCCTCAATAATCAAGGGTAGTTTATCTAAACTCTATTATAATAAATACCACGGACCCATTGCCACCGTAGCTTCACTATGATACGAACACTTTGCATTTAAAATAGAAAATAGCCAGATGACAGAGATGCGACCTATGGAGAGAGTGATGTTAAAACCTAAACGAGAATGTGGTAGAGAACTGGCCCACAGTATTTTCTCATAACAGAATGGATATTACCCTTAATTAGTGAGGATGGATGACTGCTGGCATATGATAGAGCTATTGTCACAATGTTTAACGAAAGCTAATGAACAGTGTTAATTTTTCGTAACAATAAAAATGAAAAATAAAAACTTACTGGCTTGTGACCCCGTAGAAAGCTCCTGCCTCGTCCTGCACATTGGTGTTGATATCAGCCTGCAGTCAGACAATACATCACGTTAAGGGAATTCAAAATATATCAAAATTGTAACGAATAAGCTTAACATCCATTATGTAAAGTGATAGAGGGTTTAACATTGCATTCAAAATTATTTTAGTTATAACACAACATGCATGTCTGTGTCTCCTTATAGACAGCAAGTCTATTGAGTACAGACAGCTAGTCCTGACCAAAACAAGACTCTGTGGTAACAAGTCCTTTCACAGTCCCATAATACCGAGATTCTGGCAGGAACCATGAAGTACCATCTCTTAACACGCTCCGCTGTGATGAGGATACAGACAGCAATATTTCAGCTAAAACCACAGCAGCCTGTCTATAATCTAGTATGTCCCAGACACACCTGTGACTGTATTGTGAAGACAGGTAATTAGTAGAATCACAACTTGTGGAAAAAACATTTGTAAAATGGAGCGTGATTTTTTTTTTATCTGGCAACTACAACAATCTCATATACTGACCCAGAACTTAACGAGGAAGAAAGATTGTTGAGGCCCCTTATCATACAGCTCTTTGAGGCCGCCCTTCTTCTCGAGGAACTTGTCGTAGATCTGGCGGATGTCCACAGCCTGGAGAAACAATAGTTCAGGTCAATGAAACTTCAAACAAACACCACACTTAATATAAGGACCAAGTGTTCAAGTGGAGATTGCCGTTTCCTGTTGGTTACTCGATGAACTGACAATACGCTTCATACATTTTTCTGCATGACAGTCAATAGAACTGGGGAAACTTATTCTTCAGCCATAACATAATTGACTTCAGAAATGTATCAGTAAGGCGTTATAATTTAATTTTTGTATCAATACAGAACAAAATGTAGATAGTGATGAGTCACATGGGGAGCCAGCATGCTTGCACAGTAGAGGGGTGCATTTGGGTGAGATGTTTTTACTGTTCTTGGGGAACATAACACAGAATGTTTCTGGGGTTATGGGAGAGAGAAGAAAGTTGTATGAGTCAAGATAAGGAAAAATACCATTTTGTCCAGACTTGATAAGTAACAAGGATTTCTGTCCACTGTGTAATACATCCACACATACGTAACAGTGAAGGCCATATAAAGACTATGATGAAGATAAGTTAAAGATAACTCACCTCCAGGAGTGGATCGTTGTAGCCAGCATTTGACCCGATGTGGACAAACAGGTGCTTGTGGTACTGTGGACAAACAAACAGCATTGTAGACCAATTGTATCATATATATATAAATAACTGCTGATGGTCTTTCTAAGAACATCAAACAACTTATTGATCACCAATGATCATGTCTATTGAGAGTGAGTGAAGTTAGGAATGGTTAACAGAGCTATTTTTAAGTTGGAAGTACCTGGGCAGCTTGCCTATTGCAATCTGGGCTTGAGATGGAAACTGAAGAGCTACTAAAATGAATATTTCCCCACACACCACCAAACAAGTGTATAAACAATTGCTTTCCACCGTGCTTTCCACAAAGTACCTATTTGTGCTTTACTTCTATGTGTATAAGTAAGTATGCTTTAAGCAGTCTAAAGGAATTGTATCTTTCACATCATATCACCCGACATCAAGATCAGGCTCCACACCTTGTATCAATGATGAGTGAGTGAGTTTAGCTTAACACTGCTTTTAGCAACATTCCACCTATATCACGGCTTGGGAAACCAGAAAGGGCTTCACACAATGTACCCATTTGGGGAGTCAAGCCTGAATCTTCGGCATGTCGAGTTAACACTCTAAGCACTAGCACCGCCCCTTACACATTATGAGAATTGAACCTTGACATTCAACAAAATGAGCAAACACCTTAACCACTTGACTACTGGGCTGTTGGAGAGTGTATTACTGATGACAATATCGTGAGAAGAACGTACAGAGTCAGTGACGACAATATCGTGAGAAGAACGTACTGAGTCAGTGACGACAATATCGTGAGAAGAACGTACGGAGTCAGTGACGACAATATCGCGGAAAGAAGCGTCGACGGAGTCAATATGGAAGAACAATATCGTGACGACAATATCGTGAGAAGAACGTACGGAGTCAGTGACGACAATATCGTGAAAGAACGTACGGAGTCAGTGACGACAATATCGTGAGAAGAACGTACGGAGTCAGGATCTCGCTGCTGTTCTAAGAAGGCGGAGAACTCCACCAATCGGAGCTTTGGCCCCGCTATGGACCTCCCTTGCCACGCTGGAGACACGTCACCGGGTATGGAGGACTGGAGCTTGGAGTCGATGCCATAGCCCGACGAACTAAACGGCTTCACACTGCAAAACAAAGCATCGGGTACCGTTAACCATGCTGTCACTGCACTGCAGTTTGTAAAACCATATCTAGTCCCAATTTAATAATAAAATGCCTATAATAATTCAGAAAATTGATTAACTCTCGACAATTCAGTGATTTGGTCTTTTTACTCCTTTTCTAAAATATGATTCAGGTCTGTATAAAGGTTGACTTTTAAGATAGGTTACGTAATATATGACATTTTGTGAGACGAAGAAAACTTATCTTAAGCAAAACATGATCATGGATATACTGCTCGAGGTTAAAGAATATCATTCTTTTTTCGTATCACTATTGTTAATATGTCATGCCTTGTGGATTAACTAGAGTATTAGCAAAGAAAACTGGGTTTTCTTTAACTTCCTTCTAGTAGTTTTTATGTTTAACAAGAACAAGTGAAGCAGTGTACTTACTCTCCTTGTGGTGTTATGCCAGGCTGCCAGAACTGTCAACAGAACATGAAAGTTTACTACAACCATTACATCTACTACAGTTCAGGAGAACTGTCAACAGAACACCATGTATTATCTTAAAACTACCATATTTGTTAGTAAATTGATTATTATTAAGTACATTTACAAAAAATAATGTACATTTGCCAATTCCACAGTCAAAGAACTAAACATACCCAATAAATTCTGAAGTTAATTTGAAATACTTCTCAAACTTGATAAAAGCATATGTATGTGTAAACTTTGCACTTAAGGAATATTAGAAAACAAGCTCTGCAAGTCTACATTGTCGTCACAAATACGAATCTAAGCTAAATTTTAAAGACACTTGTAGTGCTGTTTCTACATCAGCTTTTAGTCACCAGGAAAGGACATGGTTTTGGGTGCCCCTTACCGATGGAGCCCCTGGGTAGGCAGGTCTGACTGGGGTCATGCTCGGGAGACAACTGAGACCAGAGGCGAGGGCCTTGTTGTGGATTGCGCTAGCTGACACAATCTGCGCAGATGACATCGACGCCATCTGCTGGAGAGCCTTATCTCGGGACGCCTGGTCCTGCGGCTGTAACAACACACAACTACATCAGTATCAGATGGTAACAACAGAGCTACACTAGTTTCTAAACTTGCACTCATGGCAATTAGTTGAAATATCAACATACTCTAAGTGTGGCATATTGCATTCTGACGATAATAAAAGAGGAGTATCGAAGGGGAAATGTCTTCATGCCATCAGCTGTGTCTATTTCATTTGACAGATATAACATAACCCATTGATCAGGTCCCATTTAATCTGGAAACACAGAATGCTTGGAGGATTCCAATTGGGAACATTGACACAAACAATCAAAGATACATTGCTTCCACAGGGAACTGTGCCATTGGATCAACAGTTTCTATCACCATGGCTACCAGAGCTTGTATTGACTGCTGAACACTCCACCCAAGAACACTCCAGCTATATGATGGTGGCCTAAGTTATCGAGTATGGACCAAATAAACCAGTGATTGATATTATGAGACACACCATCAACAAAGTCACAAAACCTGAGCACCTGATCCATTAAGCCAACTCCAACATAGGTTGTTTGTTCAGCATGGACAATAATGTTATCAGTATGATCCAAGCATAGACAGTACGGAGCAGATGTCATAGCAGTTACCTAAGTGGAGGCGTGGCTAATAAAAAGGAACTTATTTAAAAAAAAAAAAAATTAAAAAGAAAACATTTCTTGGTAAATATATCGAACTGTAAAATCAACGCCATCTCCACATGATACATATAGTAACATTTGTAGTTAGTGTTTGAAAATGACAAACTACGCAGGCGATACTGATAAGGGAATAAAAAAGTGTGAGCATAAAAAACTGAGTTGCCTATCAGTCCACATTAAGTTTTCATTGCCTGAGAATCAGCTGTTAGCATTTTGCTCAACATCAGTCTCATTTTTGTCTCATACAAGTAGTAAATCTGGATAACTACTTCACTCCTGGAATAGTAGTCCTTAATCCAGTGACTGGTGTCTCACAGATGGGGAGAGTACTTAGATAAATGGTGTCCCAGAGATGGGGGGAGTACTTAGATAAATGGTGTCTCAGAGATGGGGGGAGTACTTAGATAAATGGTGTCTCAGAGATGGGGAGTCATTAGATAACTGGTGTCTCACAGATGGGGAAGTACTTAGATAAAACTGGTGTCTCAGGATGTTCTTGCCATGCTTTTGGAATGCTGATGGGGGAATTGTAAATGAGAGATGGGGGAATACTTTTGATAAATGCCTCACTTTGTCATTAGCAACGACAGAGAATTTGGTAAAACTGAAAAGGATGTTCTTGCCATGAATTTGGAATGCTGATACAATAGTTTTTTGCTTTAACACCAGAATTAACACAATAGTTCAGTTCAGATAGATTGAAGATATAAGTTCAGATTCAGAAATAGGGCCTGATCAGACTGAAATAGGTAGCCAGATCAGTTCAGAGAAATAGGGTCAGTTCAGATATAGAAATAGGGTCAGTTCAGATATAGAATTAGAGCTAGATCATATCTAGAAGTAGAGCAGTTCAGACACAGAAGTAGAGCAGTTCAGATATAGAAATAGGGCCAGTTCAAATATAGAAATAGGGTCAGTTCAGATATAGAAATAGGGTCAGTTCAGATATAGAAATAGGGTCAGTTCAGATACAGAAATAGGGCCAGTTCAGATATAGAAATAGGGTCAGTTCAGATATAGAATTAGGGCCAGTTCAGATATAGAAAAAGGGTCAGTTCAGATATAGAATTAGAGCTAGATCATATCTAGAAGTAGAACAGTTCAGACACAGAAGTAGAGCAGTTCAGATACAGACAGAGAACAGTTCAGATCTGGAAGTAGAACCTGTTCAGGTGTAAACATTAACACATAATGATGGTGAGTCTGAACTGCAAGCATCAAGGTAAAACCTTCCTTCTCAGAAAATACAATGACTTTCAAAACAAATGAGCACAGTTCTAGAATTACAAAAATAACAAGCTGTTCTTCCCTTAGTGGCATTATTTCTGTAATGCCTCGAACAAAAGGTTGAAATACTGACTTGCAAGAAGGAATTAAGTATTAAAAACACTTCTTTCTTATTCTCATGGACAATGACTGCAGTTATCTATTAATGAATCCAGGCTAAATAAGACCAAGTATTGATTCACTGGCTGCCGAACACTGTACAGATCAATGCACAAATACTTACGTGGGTTATTTACGGACAAAAATAACAGACACATCCTACTTAATTATCAAATGAAGCACAAAAGTCGGATCTTAATATTGCATACAAGAAGAAAATGTGTAGAATATAAATAACATTTAAAAAACATTTAACCAGTTCAAGAGATCCATATATTCCTCAAGAATACATTCACGAATTCCTTTTGAAATAATTTTTGGGAAATATATTTCTTCATTCAAAAAGTTAAAATTTGAAAAGATGGGGGCTCATGTTACCAAAAATGTTAATCCCATATTTAGATATAGAAATGAACCTGAAACACATATTTTTTTACAATCTTAAAGTTCAAACAATCATCATGTGGATCTCAATGTACCAGATTAAATATCATCCGCTGGTAATTTTCAAAATAGATATCTCAATATCCACCAACAGATTACCCAGTATACAGCAATAGTATACACTCCACATACAGATTTCAATGTCAATCAACGATATTGTTCTAACAGTATGTAACATACTCCACATAATGTAATATATATCTGTTTCTCAACATATCCTGTATTGATCCGTAATCACAAGTCTAGGTCACTTTGTATAACTTATTTCCTATTTAGCAGCCTGGCTCCCGGGTCTACCAGGCAGTGTATAACAGTCCATATCCTCCAAGTGTCACACTGCAGCAAAAGGACACTACAAAAGACTCAATCTCACCTCCTCTCCCTCCTCCATCGTTTGATTACATTTACAAACTCATTTACACCAAAAAACGGAGTACAAAGAAAATTAGTGGCCCTTGCAACATGAAATCTACGAGTTGCACTAGTTGACCTCCTTGCCACCTGCATGTGACCTCCGATTTATTTCCTTGACTGCGTGTCACCTTCATACACAAGTGTTACTTGGAGCGATTCCACAGTTATAGTTTCACTCTATGGCTTGGACGTCCATTACGAAAATCTGACACACAATTTGTGGGTGTATATAAAAAGCTGCAATTTGTCACGGTAATATGATTTTTTAATTCCATGTATTGTGCTTTGTGTTGCCTGTATTGATTGTAGACAACTAATATTTCAAGCAGTCCCTGTGCTATCGGGTTTGGCAAGGTAATATCGCCTTCATAATTTACAGCAGTAAAACGATGATCACCATCAATATTGAAAACCATGATCCAGAGACAGGATAAGTAGGAGCCATATCTCTTCCTGGAAAGGTCAGAGGTCATAAGCTAAGCCTACAGTTTCAGCCTGGCTGCTTTACAAATCTTATAAACAAATACATCTTGAGTGGGTACAGGTCATTTACCACTAAAATAAACATGGGGAAACCCGAGCCAATGTCACTGCTCCCGGACTGTTTTCATGGTGTTCTAAGCGAAACTTAATACAGTCTTTACTCATAATGTAGAATTGTCTTACACATTAGGCAAATATAACCATAAATTAGCCATTTGGGGAAACATAATGACTTATGAGGAAAACTATCTTCAAACATAAATATACGTAAGAGAAAACGTGTGAACCACTGAACTATGCACTGACAACCTGTTTTGCCCTGGCCTATAAAATGTTACCTCCGTAATTACTTTGAGTTGTGCCTGTATTTCTTTGGCTTTCCTTCTGGCCAGGACTTGAATATGACTGGACACTTGCTTCCTGGTGCGTGTCTTCCCCTGTGCGCAATTTGATGTAGCGGGCAATAAGTTCATTTCGACCTGGAAAATTGATACACAATGAATAACATTTGTTATAAATATATCAAATATAGGCCATTGTTCTTCATGAAAATGTGTGGAAACCATTTAGACAGAGAAGAACAAGAGGCTCTGTGGCTCACTTTAATTTCGCAATATTTTTTTATGTTCTTGGAAAGACTAAATTATTATCAGTCAAAATTATGATGCTATGAAAGAGGAAAACCAGACACAAAAAAATGAAATGAATAATTATCTTAAAGCAATACATGAAACAGCTAACACAAGAATACATTTACAACATTCGCCTTATGTATTCCCCATAGCAACCAGTAAGGATCACACCATATATTCTGATATCAGTGTATCGGTACATGTTGATGCTGTATTGCTACAGATTTATGTTGATTTATCGCTACAGATTTATGATGCTGCTGTATCGCTACAGATTTGCCGATGCTGTATTGCTACAGATTTCTGTTGATGCTCATAAATCTGTATCGATACAGATTTCTTTTGATGTATCGATACAGATTTATGTTGATGCTGTATCAATAGATTTATGAGCATCAATGTTCAATAAATAATAACACAGAAACATTAACATTATGATAACAATGATTTAGAAGGCCAATGAAAAGATGGAAAATTTAATTTTAAACATTTAATTGATAAGCCCCTTTAACATACATGAAACTGATTAATTGCAGTCTACATCAGTTATTTCTATCTACATACTAAGAATAATAAATGTTTTTATTAATCAGCATATAAATATAGCATGATACTTTTGAGAGGAGGTATCGATACAAAAGTTTCAGTGACATTCCAAACATTAAATCCTGCACAGGAAGCTTCTACATTGTAACAGCGCCCCATGACCTATGGTCAAGCTGAACCAGAATTGTACTCCTTTCCTAGCAACAAATTTAGGGTTAATAAAACACTGAAATGAATCCATAATTATCCTGTTATCTGTTAGCACCTGACTGGAATCTGTGTGGGACTTAGGACATTATCAACGGAGATGTAGCTATTGCCGTTGTCACCTCCGAGCCTCTGGTAAGCTAATGTCATGGCTTGAAAAGTAACCACAATGATGCCATATCAGTAAGAGGTGAACAACTGATTGCTATCAGTTTTCCAGTCTCATTGCTCATTTATTAAATACATGAATCCAATCACAAGCCACAGCATCCTTTTTGAAATAACTATCACAGAAATCATTTGAACATGGTCGAGGACTATTTTGACTAAGATTACAACTTCATTTATTATTTTGATGCTAGCTACTTGAAACAATTGATCAATTTAGTCTTCATTGATATTATGGTTTCAAACTGCCATCTAACATACAACTTTGATTATTACTTTGATTATATTGCTATTTATTGTGATCTGGAGTTGTGGAGTTGAGGTATACCAGTAAATGATGCCTTTTGATCAAAGTCATCTCCATTTGTTAACACATAATCAACAATATTCCAAATGCATGTCAATTAAATCACTGATCATGCAATAATTTAAATTTTTTTTATCTCCTCTTATAATTTTAACCGTTTCACTGTTCATGACTTTGTACTATATTCTAAAACTTGCTTTCATCCCCCACATGAGATGTCAACATGTGCTGGTTTGAAGAGCTTGTTAATGGTTTTCTGTTGATGTCTTTCAATCTGGCTTTTTACCTAACATATTCTGCATCATGTTTCATAAATCAATTCCTGATCTCCCTAGTCAATTATTCATGGGAACATGAAATAGATATGTTTAAAACATATGGTGTATACACTTAACGGCAGCTAAATATCTTATATTTCTTTTCCAACTGTCTTGTCAAAATTATACACCTGCCACTTTCCACCTGTTAGTCTTAATATTAAGGGATACAGATTATATTTCCCTGCTCTGGGCAGGAACATAAGCTTATTATTCCCCAGTCTGGGGCCGAACCTCCAGAAACAGACTATAGTTGTTGGGCTTACTTCTACCCTCCTGGCGTGGTTGCCTAATTTGGACCCATTACTCATCAGCACAGTGACTCATTCTACTTTTTAGTTTTTTGTGACAGCGTAAGGTTGTTGTAAGCTGGAAGCCCCACTACCTTGGCAGATCCTGTTTACCTAGCCAGAGAATGACTGAAGCCAAGATAACGAGTTAGTGTAGGACCATACACAGGTAGCAACCCAAGTCTCTGGGTTGACATTAGCCGATGTTCCCGTGGGTATTACCACCATAGTCAATATTCTACACCTCAACTCTCTCATCATCAAAATGCAGGACTTGAATAACCTAGACTTCAAAAGTGAACCTACACAATACTGAATCAACTGCCTATTCAAACAAAAGCATTTCGGATTCACCTGGTCAAATAATTATGATGTAACATATTCCCCAGTTGCCATTTGTATTTAAAAAACTGGGAAGGTGTAGACAGGTCTTGATTTATCAAACAGTATGTGTGGGAAAGCTAGCAGCGTTTTGTTGTAGTCGACCCAGCTTCATAATGCCCGGCATGGTTGAGTGACTGCATGGCGAGTACTTGCTCACTCTATGTTAACATCCTGTTCAGACGAATAACAAAACATATTCAGCTGTGAACATATTCTTTTAAGTTTTCTAAATTTATTGTCAAATTTAGACTTTCCTCATTGAAAATAATCAGGACTGCTGGCAACATCATATATCGTGTTCAAATGTAGTCACATGTCTGTGTTAGTACTGATAATGATTATGTATACATAGCAGGGAGGTGAAATATGTACTTTACAGTGAAGATGTATTTAGCTACACCAACACAAGATGTTCAGATCCAATGATGATTATAACCTGTTATTTAATGGCTTAGGTTCCACTTATTACCTTAAAAAAAAATGTAAGAAATTCAAATCTGTATATTTGCCGCCACTCTATTTTGGACTAATTATTTTATTGAATCAACAGATACAACTATAAAGGGTGGAAACTAAAATTTTAATTAATCAGAGAAGAGTACAATCTTTGCAAATACATCCAGCATTTAGAGGAATCCAAAACCATGGTGAGTGAGTGAGTGAGTGAGTGAGTGAGTGAGTGAGTGAGTGAGTGAGTGAGTGAGTGAGTGAGTGAGGTGAGTGAGTGAGTGAGAGTGAGTGAGATTTAATGTGGTTGTGAACAATATTTCAGTTTTATCACAGAGTTGCAGCCAAATATGACACAAGTTGTGAGCAATTAACACAAGGTGAAACCATCAGACTGGAATACTGCCGATATGAACTTATATTTGAACTCACTCTCCCAAACCATCAGACTGTTCTTGAATATAAGTAAGAGAAGCACAGCAAGTGACAGTGTGTTACACACAAATGCTTCAAGATGTATCCTAAACTTTTGTCACCTATCAATATTTTTTTTATCCATGTTTTTTTTAAATACAAAATAATTACGCAGATAAAACAGTTTCTTTTTCCTTGTGTATTAACTGTCAGCAGAACATATATATTTCAATTAGACTGTGTATACTGGAGTATAATTCCCTCCCTCCATTATTTAAAACAAGTTTTCCGAAATACTTCTTTTTCATTTGCTATTTCAATCAAATGTTCATAAAAAAATTCCATCATATTGCTTCACTCAGAAAAAAGAAAATAACAAACTTGGTAAATGGAAATGCTAAGTCGCAATAAATTGTTGAGTTATAGTTTCAAACCTACCGCCTTAGTTTTATAGGAATAGATTTAGTTTACTGTGTTTGAATGTCTTGTGAAATAAGCCTGAAATTGCAATTTTTCTCTTTTATAATTGCATTGGGAAAAATATTATAACTTATTGCGGGCATCCCTCTACACAGCTGGATATTTTGGTCAAAAAGTATATCCCATAGACAAGAAAATCTGGTAGTCAAAAAGGTTTTGTTGCTCATGGCAAGTGCAGTTCACTTAGAAAGTTAGCATTAAAAACTTTACAAAACAAACAAACATCAACAGCTTGAAGTCACATCCCAATAATTAAACGTAATTGCCATCGCAGTGAGAGGGTGAAGATGAAGGTGATTGGTCAATATTCAACAGATACTCAAGACAACATTACCAGCGTCCCACACAAGCAATGAAGGGAGTCACAGACGGGAGACACCAATATAGAGTTAAAATATTGATCTGCTATCTTTGTCAACAATCTTTTTTGCCTAACACGGCCCTTCTAAGACTTGTTCAGTCCGGCTAATCCGTTCTCAAACACATGTCGGCAATGAGGCAAATAAGCCCAAGTGACCAAACACTGAGCAGCAAGCACAGCCACTGGTGACAAACACACAGGAAAAAGTGGAAAGTCCACACGGGCATAATCCATTCCTGGGGCAATGATGATTCTTCAACAATCTCAACAGATCCCGCCAAATACAAAACGTCTTAGGCTGGGCTTGGAGCAATTGATAGGAGCAACAACTGAGTACACAGCCATCTTGTTCTCCAGGAACAAGGCGAGGGACTGCAGCAGGACAATACCTTGCTTGTTACAAAGGGGATCCTAATTCGGCACTTTTCTTGACTCTATCAATGTTTATCATTCTATTGGATTCTACAGAATACAATAGTCTTCTCAAATTGTCATTAAACCATCTTTGAAACACATTAGCCAAAATAATATCGGCCAAGAACTACAAAATGAAAGTGTTCACAAGATGTGGTCAGATTCTTCAGAATACAACAGTTGTCATAATAAACATCATAAAACCATCTTTGTTACAAAAAGCCCAGACGCCTTCAGGAATAGGTTGAACTAAATCATTAAAGTAGAAGGCATAAGTATAAATCATTAAAGGTGCCCCCAAGATTTGTCTATGTATGACTACACGGATGATGGGAATAATCAATATATGTATTATTTTTCCCCTACAAATGTTCCATAAACTTTCATTAAAATATATTTTGTCAGAAACAGAAAAATCTGTCAAGATGACTTAGAAACAATACTTTTACCGTCAAATTGGGAAAAAAATTATATTTTGTACAGAATGTTTTAATAACATGTCAAGGTGTTTTTGTTGTTAAATTCAGAGGTATTTTAATAAAGTATAATTAAGCATTTAAGCGTCTTCCACAGGTCTTGTTATCGGTGAAGCACTCTACAAAGCCACTGCATTAGTAATAACTTTATTAATATGAACTGGAAACTTTCACATTCAAATTTGGGAATTTTAACTGACATTTGTTGCAGACTATCCGCCTCTGAGCAGATGTCGATAAATCTGTGATATAACTATACCGGCTTCCTATAAAGCCTACAGGACCAGGAAAGCAATATAGTACTGATAAGCTTTCTGAGGTGTCTAATGGACACCCCAGTCACCATGGTCAAACAGCATGGGTTTGCTTGTGTGTTCTTTCTTTTAAAATTTTGATCACACAATATTCTCCTTTATATTTTGATATTTTTTTTTTTTAAATATTACGATGACATTTCCACAATTTTCAGAATTATTTGAATTATAGAACGCCTGTACTTTGGGTATCTCAAAGTTTCGGGCTCCTATCACATACAAAGGATGGTGAATGTTTCCCTTTTCTATATCAGCCTGATAATGCTTTGCCATACAGTAAATTGTGCATCACATTATCTAGAAGAATGGAGGAGGCTGCTAAAATAAAATCGACATTAAACCACAAGTAGTTTTATTTCAACAGTAAGATCAAACAACAAAAGAATTTAATCATGCCTCATTTAGGAAAGGAAGACTTATCTTTAACTATTATAACACACACTAAAAAGCTCTTTATAAAATGTCATAATATATTGGGAGTGGAATGGAGAATTATCAATTTCTTTATCACCTCTACTGCAAACTGTTATAAAGTACCTTAAGATCTAACCATTTCTGTTGTATTGGGCATAGAAAGATATAAATCAATATTTAATATTTCAAATCAATAACTATAGTCATAATTGGAATTTTCATTATGACAACAAACTTAAAATTGTCATCAACATTTATGCAAGCACAGCATTCAAAAGGGTTTCTGATATCTGAGCTTTGTTTCGCTCGACAATCCAGGTCAAACAGCAGGATTTTGAGCAAATCCTCCCATCTCTGCCAGACTATCATTAATACTGGTAGATGTGTATGGGAGCATCAAGTTTAAGATTTATCAGTACATGTGATTTCCCTCCCATTCACGGCTTGTATGCAGGTGAAGGGACGACTGAGGGACTCAGCGGCTGTGTTACAGCCTCGCACCTTGTCATTACCTCCAATGGCCTATGTTGACACACTTAACGACTTTCCATGGTATTTGCACCTGTACAGGTGTGCAAGTTCCACTTCTCCCTCAGGCACAGAGTGGGTGTCCCCTCCCAAAACAGTTCTATTTATAAGCCCCAATGATAATATTCTTCAATCGTATACAACGGTTTGTAAGCCTGAAATAATGTTCTGGTTTAGAATGAAACATTTATGTTTAAGTTGACAAAAGATCATTTCTGTTATGAAACAGATTATTTCATTAATATACACCTAAAATATAAGCACTATTTTATGTTCACATATTCACTGGTAATTCCTACACAAATACTATTGGGCAAACAAGGACACATCACAATGTACGTGTAATGGATCATGTCAATTTCACAAAGATAAAGTGTAGATCGAACTTCAAAGCAGCCACATGAAGACTTGTTGCTACTAATACATAATATTGCCCAATGGTTTACAAAGCTAAAATACTATACACTTGGGTGGTATCAATCAAGGGACACATGAAATCTTAATTATAACTTTACATACCACTTCATGTTTTGTTAATCGACACTGTGTTAGTGTGCACTGTACGTGTACTAACTCTGGGAAATATTGATTTACCATTTCAAAGCAATTTCAGTGCAAAGTTAAGTACTAATATACACCTGTATGTGCAAAGTTTCTATGACTGTGAACATTTTTTGCTACTTTAAAAGAAAAAGGTGAAAATATATCTACCAGTATTCTGATACAATTTTCTAGTGCAGTTGGAGTGTAATACTAGTTGTATTATGATACTTTAACAAATACATAATATTTTCAACTTATTCTGTCAGAGTATCCAGTGCTCCAGATAAACCTTTGGCCATGTGGGTATGATACCCACACTTTTGAAACTAAGTGGGTATTTCAAGTGGGAATCTATACTTTTAGATACCCACTATCTTTTAAAAATCCGGGTATTCATTTCGAATATGGATAACAGGTGCGACATTTTTTTATTCAATAATAAAATAAGACAAAATCCTCCCAACAATGCTAAATTATAGCTAATAGCTAATACAGCCTTATCCACTTGTGCTGTGAGAAATAATATGTGCCTTAGTCTACATCCGTTTTGGTGTAAAACAAGATATCAAGATGGCTATTAGATGATAATAACAGCCATGTCTTCACTCTAACATAAATTTTTTTCAAAATCTTGTCCCCATCGTGTTGTTTCACTTCCACACCGCGAATAGCTCATGTTACAAGTTCATTTAAAATATTACCGGCAATTGATTCTGATTGTGAAACACAGGACCTGCCTATTAATTCATCTAGCATTCCTCTAATGAAGTTGTTTTCTGTTTGTAAAGCGTAAAAAAAAAATATTTTACTTTGAGCGCGTGGAGGCTTTGAACAACACTTGCTCACCATTATCGATTTGTTTACAGAAAGAAAACAGCTAATTGATTGGTCACTATTTATAGATGGACCAATCAGTGGATGGTTAAGAAACTGTGATTGGTAGTCTATCTCTGTTGCACATTTAAATTGCGTTTAGTAAGACTTATTTAATCGCAAATATTTAGAGATGGAAAAACTTAAGTTCGAATGGCTTGAATGATACGATATGCAACATGATTTTGATGTATTGGGTAAATACGCATTGTTAGTTTGACATAGCGTAAACGTAAATATTTAGTGTTTTTTCATACGCTGGCAATTATTTTTCTTGCGTATTTCAACTTTTCCATAGCGTATTTTATGCAAATATGCAGCTTATCTGGAGCTCTGGTATCAATAAAGTATTGCCAATCAACATTTGCTCCAGCGATCAAATTGGGACTGTTAACACTGGATGGACACTGCAGTACAGTGTGCGAAATGTACGCTGGTCCTGTGGTCCCTGGCTAGTAAAATTTCATCAGGACCACTAAATGACAACTTTGCAGTGGTCCTGGTGGTCAGTGAATTTTGAATTGATAGTTAAGTAAATCCACGAATGTTATTTTGGACCAGTGAAGTACAGACAGGACCACTAATTATTGTCCACTCACTGGTCCTGTGGGAAATTTAAAAAGGTTTCTTTCCCTGCAGAATTAGTCTGTCTCACAGTCCCATTATTGTCCCTACTGCCCAGCCACATTATTTTCCCTACTGCCTAGCCCTCTCAGCAATGAAAACGCCCTAAATGAAGCAAGTCTAGATTTCCTCAGATTCTGAATCTCTTGTCTCCCTGGGGCTCCTTTTTCAATTTAAATGGGTTTGTTTGTTACTATCAATATTATATATATTCAGAGACTAAGCGTCAATCTACTGCAGTATAGACATCTGAGTTTGATAAACCCTCCACATTAACAGAGAACAAGCACCTGTTGTGTAACATGCTGTAAACTCCATGACATGTCCAGATGCTGGTTGACCAATGGTCACTAAGCATGGCTGTATACTTCTGTCTGTCAAATCAATCCCCAATTTACATTCCTCACTCCCCAAGGCCTGCCAGCTCCACGGGGTAATTGATCACCTCTTGACTAATTATATTAATTAACCAGGCAGCAGTCATCTAATTAATGGAGGGTTAGTAAACCAGATCCAACAGTTACTGCCACTGTCACCTGTTGGGCAGCATGAGTAGCTTTGTCTTTGGAGACTCATCACTCAATGCAAGATAGTAAAACTATTTAGCAGGAAACCCTGTACCTTAATATACACAGGGTTTGATATAAGGATGTTGGACATACTTGCACAAGGTGCAAGTTGGCATTAAAACCTGGTTGCACCCTCATCCTATTAATCTATCAACGTTGAAACAGATGCATACACAATAAATATAATCTTAGATTTCAGAAGGCTGATTTTGCCAAAAATTAATTACATTTGGCTTGTAAATGTACGAGGAACGCTCTTGACGTACCCCCAGTTTGATGATGTCACGCCCAAGCAGACATGATAACTTGCACACAACACAGGGACTAGCGACTAGGTATGTAACAAAGTGAATTAGTATCAATGATGTTCATAGATCGATGTGTGGAAAAGTCGAGGTTGGACACAGACCTAAAATATATTTTACATGTTCCTGGTGTATGTGGACAAATACTGCACTGGCTTTTTCAAAATTAGGTTGCACTGGTGTATGTTTTACAGCGAGTGAGTAAGTATGGTTTTATGCCACTTAAGCAATATTCCAGCAATATCATGACAGAGGACACCAGAAATGGGCTTCATACATTGTACCCATGTGAGAAATCAAACCCGGGTGTTTGACGTGACGAGCGAACGCTTTAACCACTAGGCTACGCCACCGCCTGTTTTACAGAGTAAATGTGACATATACCACATCGACACAAAAGTACACCCTGAACAATGAGAATAATCTGACAGAAATTTTGACAGAATTGTTTCCTTATAACTTGAATCATACCAAAATGAATTGGTCTCAATGTCCTGTTAAACTAAAATTTGCTGTTATTGATAAAGCTGTTGTTCCAAGAGGGATTTATTGGAGATTCTTACCATACATTTTTCCTTCATCTGACAATATAATTTTCCGACGGCCACATGGTGGGTATATGGCTAAAGCTTCTTGGAAACTCTGTTCAATGTCAGGGCTCCATACACCTTCAGCGTCGGCCAGATCCTCGCTGGAGCTGTTGGCTTTGCTGTCTGAGTTTGCGGACGCCCCTGTTGGAGGACCTTCGCCACTGTCTGCGCTCCACGCTGAAGACATCTTGTTTCGAACAAACTGCAAAAAAGGAAAAGAAAATTCAGATAACATTCAAGTCACATTTTAATCATATATGAACCATTCAACTATCAATTACTTATGGCTTAAATATTTTCTAACTTAGGATCGTAATGTTTTTGAGATGCGCTTCTACACGGCTGCCGTAGCCTGATTCAGCTAACATGCTGTGGAACCAAACTCAGACCTGGTGTTGCACAGGAAAGAGCACCAACCATTATTGGACTACCCCCTACATGTCCGTTCTTTGTATAACTAATTAAGCAAGTCAACAAAACACACCCAAACAAAAATGTCTCGTAACTCAAAATGTAAAATCTAAGTTATCCTATATGTACACCGGGTGGTGGAGAAACCTAGTGGTTAAAGTGTTCGCTTGTCACACAGAGGATCTGGGTTCGATTCCACACATGGGTACAATGTGTGAAGCCCATTTCTGGTGTCTCCTGCCGTGATATTGCTGGAATATTGCTAAAAGCGCCGTAAAACCATACTCACTATGTTTACACCAAAATATTACTCACAGGCAAGTATCTCCACAAAAATTATAATGCTGATTTAAAACAAATACAACTTACAATAAAAGTTTTCTTCCACTAAGGATATAGAATATGTAACTTCAGTTGCAACACCCATAAGTGACAACTGCATATTTACATAGTGGAGTGTGTTAATTGTAGCAACGATGAGGCAATCGATTTACAAACCAGTGTTGGGTCTTTGTGAAGCTCAGTGCTTGATAACAGCATCACAAATAATATTTTCTGTCACAAATACTTCTAAATATTGTATCAGAAGGTATTTGACACAACCATGAAACCAGGATACCAAAATTTACACCAGCACTGCTGAAAACCTGATACATTTATTTCTTGTGTAAACGAGAACTCAAATGGGAGTGTTATATCTTTACATTCAACCATCCAACATCCAACAATGTTTAAGAGATGAATAAAAGCCAAACTTCAAAGGACAGTGATTTCTAACCTGCAGTCTGAAGTACATGCAATCAGGTTAGTTTATTGAAGCTTGTAAAATGTCTTTGACAGAGATAACCTCGCAAATGTAAAGAACAAAATATTAACTTGCTGCTACAAAACATGAAAGATGAAAGCATATCCTGACAACATTGCAATTGAGGAATTAGAACAAACAATATTGAAGTGAACACTCCTAACATTGTCCTTATTTACCTACACTGGTCTGCTACTGACACACTCACAAGGTCAGGTATTTCATCCAGACATATATGTCAAAATGTCCAATATAACCGGTGGATTGTCAACGTCCAGGAAACACATGGACACAAACACTACTATTCTCTCATATGTCAACACAACTGAATTCATATAAGCCAGAAATTAAGCATGGAAGACGACAGGTTCTTGTTAATTTGTCACATCCCAGATGTTCTAAGGAAAAAATTTAAGGGGTCCCTTGACTTAAATACAGAAAAACTCAAGATTTCCTAAATTTCAAAGCTTTCACAAAATACAAATTTGGATAGTTTGTAAAAAGAGCATGACAACTATACTATTTAATCACTGAAAAACATTCTTAAATCATATCTGTCAAATTTATCATTGCAACAAACAAAAGATCAATATTCACAAACATCAAAACAAACAAAATATATAAACGAAACATTTACCGTAGGCCACAGATAAACCATAGTCCTGGTCTATTAACATTCCAAGAATGAAGAAAGAATTCAAATGTTGTGAGGAAGAAAACAATCTCTCCCTTCCTTCAGATACTATAGGTGACCGAGGTTTCCTTTAATATTTCATTGTTGCTTCCTGTTGACTGCAACGAGCATGCTAGGATCCTATGACGAAACCCTTCTACCTAGCAGCTATAATTGTCCCTAATCACAGTGGTTGCACAGCCACAGGCCACGATACGACTAACTCACACTTCCTATACCTACTAGCCTTAAGCTGACCAACTAAACATGGTTTGATGATCACAGTATGCCTCTATGAATAGACTTCATTACATATTCTATTGTTCCTGCTAATTGAATGGTGGGTTCATAAAGGCATATTTATCCTTGTTTAAACTGCAAAAACATTCCCCTGCACACACCATAACCTTTAACATTATTGAATTTCTCTGTTTGAAAATTAATTCTAAATGCTTATTTCATGTCAGTGACTCATCGGCATGTGATGATGTTGCACGTTATCAAAGGCAATGCTTGTTTATATGAATTAGTCTCCAAGAAGCTAACTCTACTGCCGCTGCCATTTACAGGAAGACACTTTAACCCAAATAATTAGCAATGAAATACTTCTTACATATCATAACAAATTAGCGATCCCTTTCTATCATTAAGTGTGTTTTCTGACAAATTAGCATTTTCTTAATTATATTATTGTAACTAGAAAAATACCCAAATAATGTACAACTAAACATCAAACTAATCAAATTCAATACAATCACAAAATCACTTTTACATAATTTGTGAAATTTAGAAAATATATTACTTACATTGTATTCATCTTGAACACCAGGAGCAAAATAATTGTAGTTGTAGTGAGAAAAATAGAGCTGTCGCAACATTTTGTCAACGTTTCTCCCAAAGCCACAATTGATTATGTTGGAAATGAATACAAGTACATTTGTATATGTCTCAGATGAAATAGAAGTATCAGCCGTTGTCTTAATAGATCGGGGAAAGAGCAGAGGCCAGCCGTGATGCAGAGGGTCCCCAGGCAGGCTTTTATTGCACAAGTAATTTCTTTCTACCTGAATGAGTAAAGAGCTAAGGGAATTGGAAGTAGCTTGTAGATGTAATTTCTACCTCATATTTGTGAATATATAAACAGGTCGGATATGGGTTGTCTCTACTTAGAGAAGAGAAAGCTGGCAGCAAGCTTTAGCACATCATTTAAGTTCCCATCAAAGCACTTATGACTCTGACAACATACTCCTGATCTCGGGCTAGGGTGGTTACTATGAGAAATAATGTATCTAATTAAAAGAAATTTAAAATATCTTACTATGAACTGTTATATAGAAGAGAAATAAAAATGGTTGTTGAGATAATTCAGTACACTGACTTGCTACACTTGAACGCAGAATAAAGTGCACAAATGATACTTTTACTTCTCCTTATCAATTCATTACATGTTTTTATTCTCAACATAACCTAATATACAATGAAATAGTTTACATTAACATCATTTTATAGCCAGAACTCAGATTGTTTTTATGTCATATCAAGACAACTGATATTTTTGGATGACTGAAAATTATATAATATCATTTTATCAGACTATGATAATTTTTCAAACTTTGTTTTATTTGAAAGCATAGAAATAACAACAGAATAATGCGATATACTTAGTACACTCATATTTTTTAGTTTGGTGCTTGCACTTTGTAAAGATAACAAGTTTTATGATTAAAGAAAAGTGTAGCATTAGATGTTTTTAAATTACATACAGTTGTTACATCACGCTAAGGTTAGTGAGTTTCCAAATACAGAAACGGCTCATGGTCTCCCAAATCCTCCGACAGTGGTGAGTCAGTCACTCCTTTTAAAATAAATTTTTATTTCCTTCACGTCACATGCACAGCATATGATTCAAGCAGTTGAAGCGAAGAAGATGCTTCTTGACACAATAAGGAGGCCATGGATGAACTGATGGAAGAGTCCCATCTCATCACACAAGGAAGAAATCAAAATGACCAATTCAGCCAATTTAACTTTGAAACATTTTATAATGAAGGTATTTATGTAGAAGATCCCTATACATGTAGAAGAAAGTCACTTTGCCTTTTAAGCCTTATTCTCTCGCTTCTTTCACATCTGGATCATGTGAAATAAAGTGGAGTGGTGTGCACACCAACATCAGTCAACATTTGAGACACAGTAGTAGTAGTAGTAGTAGTAGTAGTAGTAGTAGTAGTGGTGGTGCTAATTAACACACTTGTACCCATACAATAAACACATGATATACTGTATGTCCAGGCGCTGACTGGCACTAAAATAGTATATGTACAGAATGCACTATAATAGTAAACTGTATCAGATTTAAAAAGAAATATGTTGCTTGCCATCATTTAAACTGTTACAAATACGTCTAATTGTGAATACCTTAGGTTTCCTCCACTGCCAATAGATATTTTTCCTCATTATCATATTTAAATGGAATAAAGCTGGTGATTGTAAGTTGTAATTACTATTATCTTGAATGATACTCTATGTAGACAGATATACCTTTCACATAAACATATGTTCTCAGCTGTATTACTCTGGACTGGTGAACATTAGTCACCCATTCAAAACAATGATGCAATCAAAAATATCCAAACAAAATGAATTATATTTGCATTAGTTATGATAATACTTTTGCCATCTCAAAACATCCATCTTTTCCTAGAAATCAAGGCAATCAGAAAAATAAGAAACAAATTTCAGATACACCTACACGGTATGAAGGGATTTCATAGTGTATGTTACGTTCTCCTCAAATATCACAGACTTGCTGGTATTGAACGATACACCTTTATCTACATATCAAAATCAATAACTTAGAAACATCGTGTTTCTCAAGATAAAAACATTTAATTAATAAAAAGAAAAGAACATTCTCAATAATGAAACAAATACAAACGATTTTAACGCTTGTCTACCAATTTAAAGGAAAAGTAATGTCAACTGCTTCTGAATTTGACTTTGAAATGTGTCAGTGCAGCAGTTGAGAAATGCCCCAATATTATTAAAATGTGGACCTGAACAACTATTTATTATCTGAATTAAACTGACTTAAATAATAAATTCAATCTCATAGAGTCCATAAGTTAAAAACCTCATAGTCATATTCGCTAAAAATACTGGTTTTAAGCAACTGTGTAATTCAACTGCTATGTAGCAAAAGCAATAGATGCGACGGTGACAACAAAGTAACAACACTGATGATGACTTCACAATCACATTGAATTTAACCAGTTTCATTGCCACACACTGATATCATCAGTGCAAAACACACCTGCCTGTCCTTATCAAGGATGACCGATAAATCAGCTACCTATAATGATTGTAAATACCTAATCCACACTGATTGTTAATTGACAGATGCGTTTTTGTAGAGAACGGCTCCTGCACGCGCGAGGTGGTGTGTTATTGTGTTGTATTGTTCGAGCGGGTAGAGCCACACACACCTCATTGAATTGAGCGGTCGCTCAGCTGACTGCAGAAACACTTCATCTAGAGTATTTCACTCTACACTATTACGTTGACACGATTACATTTTTAATATAAGACACAGAATGCATCTTAGTGAGCTGATAATAACCATGTGATCATTGTCGACGGGCTGACAAGCGACCGCTGCCCCACAGAAGGAGGCCGTTTCTAGCCCGGACTGCCCCGCTTGTAGAAGCTAGTATGTCTGCCATCGCAGATATCTCGATGTAGGTCACACTGCCGACATGTTGAAGAAAACAGCGAAAACGCTGGATAGTAATGACAGAAGTAACTGTCGTGTATATATGTATGATTACAATTCGAATCTACTGCCCATCCTGTACACTGACTACAAGCCGGAAGTGCCATCTCCAAGTATGACAAATATTTGAGAGATTCGAAACCCGTGCGGACATTTCAGTCATTCCCATGCTTGTACGGCAAGATCGGAGTGAAAATACAGAAAAATAACGATACATATGAATTGTACTCACCCAACCTGATCTCTGAGGGTACTTTTATCAACTCTTGACCAAATCGAACAAAATTTAAGAGTTGAAGAACTCTCTTGCTGGTATGTTTGGTATGACACAAAGAATCCAGACAACGTAGTGGCCTTCTGCGCATCCCTACCGCGCAGGGGAGGACCTGCTAGCATGTTGGGAGAAATACTAAACAATGATGTGTATTTAGACCCAATTTACCAACTAAATGCAATGAATATATTCTGTCATTCACATATATATCATATCTAGTTAATGCAAGTTTATCTTGTGCATGCATGTTCGTCAACATATTATATATATGCTGAAATAGGTGGAAAATCCCGATGACCTGGTTTGCCATTCTTTTCACCTCCCTCCGCCTTGTAGCAAGTGCCCGCCGTTTTGTTTTAGACGAGTTGCTTTCTTACGCCTTTCATTTAGCTGCTTTTGCATTGCTAAACGCACTAGTATTATAACATTATATTTAATATATTTTTTACAAAGCGTGTGGCGTTTTTACGGGCAATTTCATATAAGCGATATCGTTATTCAATTTTTCGCGCCGAATGGTTGGCGCAACAGGTATTGGAATTAGAAGAATGCATAAAACGCCAAAACTCAGCTGAGGAGATTCCATTCGTCAAGATATATACAATCGATTGTTTTCACATGATGTCGTTAATTTTTATATTAATATTAATATCATTATATCAAACATCAATATTACAGTCAGTACTACCGATTCCGTTGTTAGTCATATTTTCATGGAGTGTGATATAATCGTTTTCAAAATTATTTCTTTCATATTGTTTTTACCTTATACAATATCATCTAGAATCTTTACCGTTTATACGTTAACTCAAAGAGTAGTTTGCCAATGTATTGATAATACCATGTCGTTATTTTGTTTATCGCCATGAAGCTTGCACATCTCTTTTCATCTCATTCATGACGATAAAATATTTTTTAATAATATTTGTTGTGATAATTACATATTCAGATCCATGTTTAAGGTTGCGTTTTGCTGGTGATCAATATTCCTCCATAATCATAACCCTTTTTGTTCATTAGGAGACATTTAGGCATATGTGCAAGAATGCATTGTTCCAATTCAAATTCCCACGCGTCCCATATCGCACAGAATCGTCAATACCCGTTGAGAGTGCAAGCGGATATGGAGCATAGAAGCAGGTGCGCGTTGAGGGTGGAGAGGAACCACCAGATTGCTTCTGGTAAGGGAGAACGAGGAGGGGAGCGACACCAACCTCTAACCCCAGGCGGCGGGAAACAATGGCGCATTGTAGTAGGCGCAGTGAAGCGAGGCGAGGGCTCGACGTCACTGGCTGGTGACTTACAACTGGAAGAAACTTGAGTCCTCCGCAAACCACTGTCAGAGACGCAGCTACCTGATCAACTTTCACCACTCATTAACGCCTTTCACTGACCTCGGCAGGAAATATAATAAATTTAAGGACTATATTGGTTTTGTCATAATGTTACAAGCGACTTTCAGCGAACGCCTCGGGTGTCGAGTGTCTTTCGCCATGGGCTTTACCAAGCATCACACAGCAAAAGTCGAGAAGTATTGTGTTTCACTTTGTCCCACTAATGACCTGTCAATCAAGTCATTGTTATTGTGATTATTTGTTAAAAAAATACCATTATGATCTCCTAAAAGTACATGTCGTTGATGATGTGGATTGTGACAGTTGACTGTAGTATATTGTTTTTGTTTTAATTATCATAACAATGACGTGACAGTTGCGATGAATCACCAATCTGTAAACAAACAGTAAGTTTTAGAAACAAATGCCGAAATACACGAGTACGGAGTTACATGATAGACCGTGTTTGCCTCAGTGCTTGTAATACTGGGGTCATGTTGTGACACACTAGTTTTGATATACACTGGAGTTTTTTCATCTGACATTTCTATGCTGTGTCTATCTCGCTGAACTCTCGTATGTATGGGCTGTTGGACTGACAACACTCGCCACGACCCTCTGTGGTTACATTCAAATGTCACATAGTCAGCTGTCCTTCAACACATAATGTCCGTGACGTCAAGGATATATTCTACATTGATTGTAATGCCGACAAAATGAGAAAAAAAACACCAACCCAACAACGGTCATCTCAACGATGTATGTACACACACATGCACACACACACATATATATATATGAGTGAGTGAGTTTAGTTTTACGCCGCACTCAGCAATATCCCAGCTATATGGCGGCGGTCTGTAAATAATCGAGTCTGGACCAGACAATCCAGTGATCAACAGCATGAGCATCGATCTGCGCAATTGGGAACCGATGACATGTGTCAACCAAGTCAGCGAGACTGACCACCCGATCCCGTTAGTCGCCTCTTACGACAAGCATAGACGCCTTTTATGGCAAGCGCATGGGTTGCTGAAGACCTATTCTACCCCGGATCTTCACGGGTCTATAAATATATAACATGTATAATCACAGTATATATACTTCCCATCAAAACACTGAAAACACTCACTATATGTTATGTATATAATATGGTTACATCGAAGATTGATTTCTCCACTAAGTTGGGGAAGCAACTGCAAACCTTATGCATATGAACTGCACGAGGATCATGCATCAGTTTGCTGAAAAGCGTGTGCAAATATCATGCATGCGAACAGTTGCGTTTTGGTGTAAAGTTTTGTTAAGAATTCGCCCATTTTCACTGATGTTTTATCATTTCTTGAACTCATGACAATAATCTTTTTAACGTTACGAATTTGTTTTACAAATGAATACATCAGTTCAAGTGTAAACAGTACCCTTAAGCAGTATGGAATATTTTGCAAAATAGTTTAGTTGCCTGAAGTAAGTAGCTATATTTACACTAGTGAGTCTAAACTTTTGATTGGAAGTATATATAGAAAAAAATCAGCAGTCATCACAACGATGTATGCATGTATGGATGGATGGATGGATACACACACACACACACACACACACACACACACACACATACATACATACATACATACATACATACATACATACATACATACATACATACATACATACATACATACATACATACATACATACATACATACATACATACACACATGCATTAATATAAACACAGTATACGATTTCGAACACTTTGTACCAAGCATTCAAACTGTAGGTTAATGTTTTCCTTAGAAATAGAAAGTGAGACCAAACACTTGTTTTTTCCAGACGAGGAGTTGTATTTTCGTAATTCATTTCTCAAACTAAAGATACATTCTTGTAGTCTGCTTATGACGTACATATTGTAAGAGGGTATGTTTTCCCATCTAACATCTATATAAGCATATCGTTCAGCAAGCCATCTGTCATGTATATATAGTACATGATTTTTAACAGAGATGCATATTTTTTTGTCCAAAACCGCTGACATCACATTATGACACAGTTAATATTCAAAGAGACAGGTCTTTCATATTCATACAATAGACCATAAACAGATAAAAAAAAGTATGCTTAAAATAGATATACTGAATGTGGACATCCAAGAATTGCAGTTGAACTGGCGTAATGTTTATAGTCAGTTTCACACAGACCAACAAAATATGTTTGGTTAACATGTTGTCTTGCAATATACACTTAAGACTTAATTTAACGAAACATCTGTCCTGAAGATCTTTGTTACACGACTCGTTTTGTTCACCTCAATATAATGATATCAATCATATTGGTTGCACGTCATACAATGTATCATGACGTCATTCAATTATGACGTCATGCCAGTCTGCCAGCTGGTTGGTACGGGTATACATACTGAAATGTCATTGCAGTTACCGTGGCAGCGGGTAATATTTTTTCCAGTTGTCACCTTCCTGGGAGGGGTGACACGGAAACTTGTTAAAGCGTTATTGACCAATGAAATTAAAGTATTTCACATCATTTCTCAAAGAAAATATTTCACATGAAGGTAAGATAAACTGAAATGTCATTGCATTTTTAATAAATT